ATTGCAATAAAACGGCAATTTCATACTTTAACCCCTAATATTTTAAAACAGTCGTGAAACTGTAAACCATGCTCCCCTGAAAAATTTTTCGAAATGGCGCTTTCGCTCTTGCGCTACTTTGGAGAACAAAAATTTTAGTCGCTCTTGTAATATTATCTTTGGTGACGTTTCGTATCACCATTACGTCTAATTTTATTTTATTTTAATAAATGTTCAAAGTTTGATTTATAATTCGGGACTTAATCAAGTATAAACCATATTTTATTTACTTCGACGTTTCGGATATACTGCAACGTCCATGGTCTCGAAGAGACCATATATAATAGACGTCCCGAATTAAAAATCAAATAATGTGTGAAAATCGTGAGTTTAAATCAAAGTAAATGTTCAATGTTTATCGTAATAATTTGTTTGTCACAAGAAACGGAAACAAACCTTATACTTCTGCAATATGGTCGTTTGTTTTTTGGAGGACTAAGTAATATCTCGAATTCGTCTCGTCGTTCAGCTAATAACGTCTAGATGGCAGCACATTGATTGAAATTTCAATATAAATTCAAAACGGCGCACTTGCAATAATAGGTATTGATGGTATTGAACTTTCAACGATATGCCAACAGCGTAGAGTTTTAAATTATATTAGCAGTTCCAAATTTGTTATTTCTTTTTAAATTAGAAACTACGACCAATCGTTATCAAGATTACAAAGTGTTTCAAATTATAATGTGTGAATTTTGGCGACAGCGGTTCTGACAGTAATCGAGCCTTAAGGCACTTTCAATGTTTTTTTCTTCTGTAGTTTACACGCATAAATTAAGTTAAAATTTAACTAGCCATTAGTCTAGTGTCTAAAGAAACATCTGTGTGTATAGAATGCCGTAATATTTTTTTAAATACAACATGCTGTAGAAAATTATTACTTAGAAGGACAGTTTGGTGAGTATACAATGTGTTGATTTGCATTCTTGCCATACTTACAGAGGTTATTCTACACCCGAAACTGAACCCAAATCACTAAAAAATAAATGGAAAAAAAATTTCGTAAATTCCATTTTTCATTTAATTACGGTAAACAAATTTGATCCAAAGGTTATTGACTTGCACGGCACTTGCAAACATTTTGAACAATGACCTTAAATACGCAGAAAGAAACGCATTTTAGATCTATTTGGTGGTGGGGTACGAGTAGCGCCAGCGGGGAAGTGTCGTATCGAGCGCGCGATTGGTAGATCGAGCGCGCGATTGGTAGATCGAGCGCGCGATTGGTAGATCAAGCGACCTTGCTTCCCGTACTGCATCTATTTATCGCGCTGACGGGACGGCATATACATATTCTATTCCAGTCTGTCACGAAATGCCACGTGGTTTGGTATGTAAACAAGAGTTAGTACTGCAAAAAAGAACCGCTACCAGGTTCACCAGAACCTGCATGGTAATCCATCAAGTACAAGTGTGTGTTTATTATTATGGCATGATGTGAAACGTTTAGTTTACGCGGAGGATACGAGTGTCGAGGTTTCTGCTTTCAAAGTTGTGGAGTCTAATGTTGAAACGAAGCTCACGTGCGAATCTCTGCATAAGTGGTGGTGGCTCCAGTACGGAGCCAGTCACCAGCTGTGGAGCTAGGTACTTCTAGCAATAGTTTCATGTAACCTAAAGTTGATAATTACCAAATCTAACTTAAAAAAACTTTTTTCAGTCAATTTTTCTAATCAATGTAAATAATATATAGTAAATTATAACAATACTAGTACATAATCATAATTTTAAAAATAGGTAAATAAGTGATCCGAGAAAGATTACATATCGCTGGGTGAAGCGGGTGGCGAGGTCACTGCCCTTGCGTGGTGCATATAACTTGAGACAATTTTGCAAAACTTTACTAGATACAATTAGCCAGAAAATATAACAGAATATTTTTTTTAATATTTTTAGATGATTTAGCATTATTTCTATTATTAATTTTTGAAATAGGGCAAGTGCAAATCAACACACTGTATTAACTGATCGAACTCAATGAGTGCCCGGGACACACTTCTCAAACACTTACTTCAAGACAAACCATCAGCAACGGCATATGAGCCAATATCAACTTATGATTGTGGTTAGAGTTGATTTTTTCCGTCAATCGGCCACATAACGAGTCGGCACCTAAAACCAAAGAAAGAAATTAGAATTTTCAAACCTAATAATTCTAATTGTAAAACGAAAACACGAGGGAAACATATAATAGAATTAGTAGAAAAATCGAACGCTGCTTTAGTTAATATTAAGGTGAAGCCGTACTTGGCATCTGCTGGCGCTGCTTTTGATTATAGAAAATGCGTCACTTAGCACATTGAGGGTGTAATGAACGCCAATGTTACAACCGCCAAATAACATTGCGAGGAATGCAATTCGCGGTGTAACCCGTTCGTCCAATCGGTAATGCGATTAATCCGTCTAAGAAGAGTCCACGCGGCAAATCGAAGATAAGCTACGTTAGCTTCGTTCACGAAGCTGCGTCATGTTTTGATACTACTCGATACCTCCAATTAACACTACGCCAATTTTATTTTTTGGTCGTTTTCTGTTATTTTTGTAAACAGCCATATTCATTTACTAATATTATGTTCCCCAAATTTTGTGGAAAATAAGTTAACAAAAAATTGAAAATAAATATAAAAAAATCAAATTTTTATAAAAGCATAATAAAAACAGAACATGCCCAAAAATTAAGTTGGCGTAGTACCGATCTGTTCACACTGCGAACTAAGCTAACTGAGTTAACTGAACCATATAGGCTAACTACTCAACGTTTTTTTATGATGCCAAGTGAGAGGATGAACAAGTCGTGCACCTGGAGTTAAGCGACACGCCTGTCCATAGCAGTTGCAGTCCCACTCAGAGTTTTTTAATCGCAAAGATCTGATGGACACTGCCACTGCGCCTGTCACCCTGAGGCATAAGTTGACAAGTGCCATGTGCATGTAATTTCACCAGCATACTTGCCCTTTAAAACCAAAACACAGCTGCTTGGCGGGAGAAATAGGTAAGGTCCCGTTAAGCTAAGTAAACTCTGTCGCTACAGCGCCATATTTTCTTAAGTTAGCTTTGCAGGCAGCTATGTGAGCTAAGCTATCTTAGCTTCGCTTCGCTCGCGGAGTGGCCTCTCCTTAAGGGGATTTGGTTTAACACGTTCGTCGCCGCCTACAATTTTTAAAAAAACATTGGCTTATGTACCTGCTTTTGGTCTAATTTGTATATGTGTATAAGTTTTTTCGCTATATTTTATTATTTGGCTCTATTTTGGGATTTTAACAGTATAATTATTATTATTAACCACGCCGGTCACAACGCCGGACAGTGTACGTACACGTTATGTTCGATCGATGTTTACCTAAAACTGACATACGTTTTTCATTTTAGATTGACATTTCACATTAGCCACTTTTTGCTTACTTTGTAACTTTTAATTTGAATTTTGAATTAAAGTATTTTTTTATTCGAAACTTACAGCTGTACTTTTTTCTTCAAAGTCTAGAAAAGTAGATATGCCATCAAAAAGCCTTTAAACCAGTTTGCCACCGATGGCATGAACGAGCATCGCAAACATATATATGTATATGGGTATGTCATGCCGGTCATTTTGACCCATCACGGCGATGAACGTGTTAATGTATTGTTATGCAATAAAGTATATGTATATTATAATTTTGTCTCTGGACACATTCTTGTGATTTCGTAACATACCATCTTAAACAATCATATAGCCATAATACAGCGTAAAGCAGGAATTTCAATTAATTTAAGGAGATATCCTAATAATTTTGTTTCATACAAATCCATGCGTTCAGTTAGCCAATCGTAAAGGGTCACTCGCACGATGAATTGAGATACCTATTAATATTGTTAGAGCGTTTATAAGAGCCGGCACGTCATAGTCCTGATCCACTGGAAGCATAATACACATACATATATATACAAGAGTACATGACATTAAATATAGTATATAAATAAATACATAAATATGCTAGATAACCATACCAATTACATAGTTGCAAATAAGGTAGTTTATTGCTTCAATCAACTCGTATGAATTTGTTGATAATGAACAAGTTCATATGAGTACAAGTACATACCATATGAGGGTAATTTTTACGTAAGTTTTTTATTCAATTTTGGTGACAATTTCTTTTTATTTAAATATTTATAGAATATCCTGTGTGATATGTGATGATGTGTGACCTGAAATATTCTTTAATATCTCACGATGATATATTCGAGTAATTAGATAATAAAAATTGTCACCAAAATTGAGTAAAAAAACTTACCTGAAAACTACTGATGCCAATAAAAGTTTATAATAAAATACTTCTCAGAATAAATAATTGTAACTTTTTCATAAAAAAAATAACCGACCTCAAAAGTTTGAGGAATTACATCTATGTATTTGCCCAGTTTTATTGAAATCGGTTACCGCAAAATTGCGCGAAACCAGATTTATCCCCTAGTTTGCCACCCTTAAAGGTGGAATATTTCCTTCAAATTTAAATGGCTCCTACACGGAGGTATCCTCTTTCCTACAAAAAAAAAAATCATCAAAATTGATTCACAAATTATTTAATAGAGTTATCGCGTAACATATAAAAAAATACAGTCGTATTGATAACTTCTTTCTTTTTTTGAAGTCGGTAAAAAATATAGAAAAGGAATGTTCCTTTGTTGCACACATCAACGGAGTCTAGGGGATCACGCACGTTTTTGCCAACTACTGAAAATCAGGATTTTGTAACACCGATGGATTTTTTTTGCTCAATTTTATAATTTGAATTTCAAAACGAAATTGACCAAAGAAAAAGTTTTCTTGTATCACATAATGCAATAAATGATATGACTATGAACCTGATCATTAATCTGCTGTAATCATTGACTTACAAATAAATGGACGACGGGTCTAATACAAAACCACGAAAAAAAAATGTCCCAAGTCAACCTATTTAAACGTAGTGACATGTAAAGGAATATGAAAAAGCTAAAGCGTTGAATTTAAATTGTAATGTCGTCGCAGTATTGTCTAATTTTGCTTGCTTTGCTGTCAGTTGAACAAACGAAGACTAAAGCATGAATGACGCTCTATATACGATTTTAACGTCCTATAAGTTCGGACACTTTTTAGCGCGGACACGTCGTCCATATAATTGTAAGTCAATGGCTGTAATATTAAGCGTAGCAACCAACCTTTCCCGATAAACTTTTATGACGTTTGCGAGAAACTTATCTTATTTGTAAAAATGTCATTGGAAGGATAAATAAATTTAAAAAAATCGAATTTTCGCGATTTCAGAGGGAGTAATTTGGTACTCGGCCGAATAGCCAAAGATAATATATACAAAATATGGAATTAATAGTAACCAAATATTCTTTGCAGCTCTGGTGCTAACCCGACACCCAGTGATGGCACGATTTGTATACTCACTGATTATGTTTAATCATTTCGGCACGTACCTGTCTCATCCCCAATGGCCCAAACGAGCAAATCAACACACGCTGAGTTGGCCATCACGTTGACCTTAAACTTATTGACCGCGGCGTAGTTGCTTTCCCTGTCCTCACGTTCTGCGGCGTCGTGATGTCGGCTCTGGAGCTCCGTTTGGCCGCTTAGGAAGAGGCATTTTACGAACTCCTACAAGATAAAAATACATACATTATTATAATAGGTACATGCTTTATGTGAATTTCGTTGCTCTGGTATTCTGCCGTCCATTATCTAAAACGCGGCTAAGTGACAAATGGTCAAATATCCGTTTCAAATAGCAAAAACATAGAGTACAAAATTCTCTTTTAAGAACAGGTCAATTTAGTTAACGTATTCGACTTATCGGAACTTAACCCTAACGATGCATAGCTCAAATATCAATAAACAATTTCAATGTTCTAAAACTGGGTTATGGTTTTTATGATATGCCAAAATTTTTTTTATTTCTGGTAGTCCCTACCTACCGACCCGAGAGATAGAGTATTCCGGAGAGACTACGAGCTCGCCGGCAAGACCTGAGTATAGCGGTCGTCCGGGCCAAGCCCTCCGCCAATGATACGCCTTCACGGGCGTCTCTGGTGGACCCGGACTTGGGTATGGACTCGCTGGGGTTTATGGTGAGCTGCAGAGACGGACATGTTTGTCTGCCCCGTTGGTGTGTACAAGGGGCGTCTGTCTCGTGCGCAGCTAGCGGGTCTTAGTAGCGGTCTTGACGAGGGTCTAAGGCGAGGAGGCGCGCGGTGCGGGGGAGTTGCTTTAAATCGGAAGCTATGTCCGGATATGGTCACAGGACAAGAGAGACGCGGTTTTTCGGCGTCGGGAATTGAGCGTGCCTCACCACGCAGAGGTCCCGGATTCGATTCCCAAGCCGGAAGAAATAATTACATTTCTTTCTCTCGTGAATTTTGGTGTAATTTGTGGTTGTCTACCTATGTGTGTGTCCATGGCATCCGCGATACAGGCTTTACCTAGAGCGGGGCTATGAGTGTGTGCGCTATTTATTTATTTAAAATGTTTTATAATAAGTTTACCTACTTAGTTCAAGCTTGTAATATTCTACACGGACAATAATTGAACATGTCAGCCGAAAGAAGTCTCCTCTGGAACTTAGACTTCTCCAATAGAAAAACCATCAGTACAATTCCAAATTCGACTTTCGTAACAACAGTTATTAAAACCAGAAAGTACTTTGCTAAACTTAGCGCGTGTTGTTATATAGTTAACGGAAAAAAATTGTAAAAAAAAAAACTACAGCGATAAATGTTTCCGGAGTTGAATTGATTGTAATTTGGATACGTGTGTTTACATAGTAACGCACGTGACTACATCTACATGATGTTCAAAGGTCCATAGCAAGAAGAAATAAAATCAGGATTGAAATAATAATTTTCAAACCATACAATTTGTGTTGCAACGACGAAAGTGTTTTATATACAGGGTTATTTGTAAAAGACTAGTAACCTCGCAGGACTATATTACTAACAATGATGTTTGTGAAAACAACAATTTTAGTTGCATGACTTTTAATAATTCGTAAGATTTTACTTTAGATCGCTCTAAACACTAATAACTCTGTGCGGGAACAAAAGAAAGTAAGGGTCGTCGAGGAGGATTATTCCCATCTGATCCTCTAAAACCGATCCCCTGGAGGATCTGTTTTATTTTAAATTATTTTCTATTCCCATCGGATCCCCAATACTGGGAATCAAGAATAAATATTAATATGATAACCTGTTAACCTGGTACTTACAAGTTTATTGTTGGTAGGTCCTGTGGTACAGTCAACAAGAAAATGTATTTAAGGGTTGTGCTGTATTTTAGTTAGTTTATTAGAAATGAACAACATTAACTGTACTAATTTATATAACTGTATTAACTTTGATTTCAAAACTTCTTTTTCTCTTGACTGGACTTACCTCACAAATACCGTAAGGGGATCCATTGGGAGTTGCAAAATATAGAGAGGATCAGTTGCAATTTAAAAATGGCGGTGAATCAGTTTTGGGGATTAGACGGGAATAAGTCATCGGGGGAGACGCTTATACGTTTGAACTTACTACCCTACTACCTGTGGGCGCTGCCCTAAACGTCATTCACTTTTCCGGCAAGTCAGAAACCATTCATAAAACTCACTCTCTCTTGGGACGCGCTCCGCAGCGGTAACGTACCGTGCGCCACGCCAGTGAGGCATATAAAATTAACTTGTTGTTCACAGTAGACATTAGCAATAGGTGAAGTGCCGTGTAACACTTGAACAATACAGTGGATTGTCAAACGTAACACGACGTTTCCTTTCGTGTTACCCCGGCATTTCCCAAATACTAAATACAGGTCTAAAAATTGTCAGTACAACAAAAAAGTTTATTTTTGGTAATTTTATTACGTTTTTATAACAAACAAAACATCATAGTATGAAACTTGTCAACGAATTTAAATTTGACGTTTGACGTGACGAGCTGAGAGCCCGACCACCTTTGGTGATCAGTTACCACTGCGTTGAAGGTGTGCTCACGTGTCCCTTTACTAATAAGATTGGTTACGTGAGCCGCACCACCAACAGCGAAGTTGAAGCCGTTGCCGTAACCGAAAACGGTCCGGAAAATGTATATGTTTTGGAAAAAAGTCATGGACCAAAATTTGTTGTTTATGATGTTAGTAATATTTGCGAAGTTGTTAGCATTTTACAAATAATCCTGTATAAAGATAAAAAAGAAATATTGAAAAAAAATTTTGAAATTTTTGACACACTGTTTTTGATACTTTATGCCAACGTACTATCAGACCCTGTCATAAAACAACATTTGGATGGCGCCTAATCTTAATGCAAGAGCTCAAAACCTAACAAACATGAAAGTACAAATATCACATACCGTCCAGTATTCTGCTGCTGTTTCATTTTCTGGTACATATATATTTCATGTTATTTAACACATATTATAAATAATTTTAAATTGGAACACAAATTACCTGAACGTCTTTGGTAAAAGGTCCAGGCAAATCTTTTTGGTGCTGCAGAATCTCCCTTAGCAGTGTTACCATCACCAAGTTCAAGGTTTCTGAGAATGATTTATACGGAAACACCTAAAAATATCGAAAATATGAATAACACATTCAAAATTACATATTTCAGTAACACGAAGAATAACACTAATTCAATTTTTTACCACAACAACGTATCATATTCCCGGCTTACCTGAATCTGCCCAGACGCATAAATATCTTCTGCTTCCTCGTCTAAAAACGCCAGCATATCTTTAGTCAGCAGCTTCTTAGCAATTGACAAAATCGACTGTAAATACGTCACGAAGAATTGCACACTGTTTCTCTTTTCAGGAGATTCCGAAAACCTCATATACGGAAACTGATTGAAGCTAGAACCGTACTTGGTGAAGAAATATGTCGTAGGATCGTAAGGTACTGAATGATAGCTATGTAAGGAACCTCTTTTGAGAGTCCCTGTACCACTGTCAAGAGTATCGCTCCCATTTTCGACGATGTCATTCATTGGATTCAAATTTCCCGACAATGACCTTGGAATTATGGGTCGGAATTGGTTGAACTTCCTCTTCTTATCCAGAGTCGAATACTCAAAATATTGTTCAGGTTCTTTCGCTTTGACAGGACTGCTTGGTTGGGGAAATAATCTGCATAACAAAGGAGGATCAACGGTAGAATATCTACCCATGGACCGGGCTAAGCCAATCAGTATAGGTACTGTACTCTTGCATAATTGCAGCTTTGAAGTGTCTGCATCCTTGCGTTCTGAGGTCGCGATTATGGTTTTGCTCAAATTGGCCATAAGCTCGATCTGAGCTGTGATAATTTCTTCCCGGACTGATGGAGTTTTGGACGCCACATCAGAGAGAAGAGTGTTGAGGCAGAAGCTAAATTTCTCTGACATTGGTATACCTGAAACAATACACATTTTCATTGCATTTTGACTTTACAAATACAATTTCCTGGATACGTTTGAGCATAGGGACCGACCACCGCATAGGCATCGCAAAAGAGCGAACGAAATCTATCTAATCTAAGCGTGGTAACGATGTCTTCGAATCTTTTGAAGAATGACAAATTGGAACTTTATTTTACCAACTATTTTTACTAACTATTATTACTTATTGTATCCATAATCGTAAACGCTGTTGTCCCTTTCCGGATGATCCCGTACGCATTAGGTCACTTGTGGTCAATCGTATTTCATATTTTTTACATCTGGTATTTTTGTCAACACCCTTCGTTTCTCATTGTTACTAAGAATACAATTCTCGTCATGTAGGCAATATTTTCAAATAGTTTTATTTGCGTCACATTGAAGTAAATAGTTTGTAGTTGTTACGAACAAAATTAATAGCAAGGTCTTTAACAGACTTGACGCGCAGTGAAAAACATAGATGTGTCATATCCGCATATTTTTCTATTTCTGAAAATATCACCAAATAAAGTAATAGGATGGAATTTCACTAATAGTCATATTTTGTGTGACGGTTGGCGATCGCTATACGAACAAAAAAAAAAACAAACAAACGGACCTAAGGAGAATATACCTAGCAAATTTTTTGGATTTATTACTTAATTTTCTTTATATGTCTACGATTAGATAGCCTTTTTGGAGCTTAAAACCGTCACATTATAAGATCCCTACCTACACACATTACACATAGCACGATTTTCAATTAACCTTGATTCAAAACTCACTTTAGTTAAATGCAATGCCAATTGCGTGAACACTGCACTAGGAAGGTTATAATTTTGAATCCAATACAACCATAACGAGCAGTTGACATGAAATAATTATTCGAAATTATTATCAACGCGTCACATGGGGTACCTATGGGAATTGTTGATTTTAAATGTTATATACGACTGTTATACAGAATGTTTAAAAATGATGAACTAAAACTGTACATGTGCTTCACTTGTTGTAGAATCTACTATTTTACAATGCCAAGTGACAGGACGAACAAGTAGTGCGCCTGGTGGTAAGAGACATGCCTGTCCGTAGCAGATGCAATGGCACTCAGAGCTTTAAATTGCAAAGATCTGAGGAGCACTTGCCACTCCGCCCGTTACCATGAGACAAGTTGACAAGTCCCACACACCCTTACCCTTTAAAACCGAAACACAATAATGGTCACATTACTATTTAGCGGCAAAAACAAGTAAGGTGGCAGGAAATGTAGACGAATGAATTTTCAGCTTCTCGTATAAAGAGTAAAGTCGGAATTCGATCCGAGATGCATACAGAATCAAGTAACGTAACCAAAACTCAAAAGCCTCAGTTGCTTGTTTCTGGCTAGGGGACTTTTTATCCTATTGTCATCCCATTTAATAAATGTGTTAATAATCCAAACGGTTAACACTTGAAATAGGTCCTCAAAAATTTTAGTATAAATAATGAAGCCGATTGGATATAAAATCGAAAAATATTTAACACGGACTATTAAACGATAACAACGAAAACTATGAAAACTTATGTTAGTGCGAGTGACACCATAAACGATTATTGGCGTGGAGGATAGATTAGATTCAACTGTGTGAAGTTTTTCTTTTAGGTTGATTTGGATAGTAACAACGTACAAAAGCCACGGTAGATCGCTAAGTCAATGAATCTTGTTAACACGGGCACATAAAATATTATGTCCGTTTAATGGTATTCAAACAAGCAAATTCATATATTCCGGTTGATGGAAAAAAGCAACCGTCTCCCAATGAAATTTTCGATTCTTTTATTTTGTCTTGGGCATAAGGTCTCTCCTGGCTTTGCCAATCCGTCAATGAGGAACACCAACCGCATTAGAACTGCAGCGACGAATGCTTTTGGAGTGTCTACTTCTCTGAGTGCTAATGAAAATCTTCAGAGATATGTTTTATATTATTTTGGTTAAACGATAGAGTCACGTCTTATTTATCACAGACTCATGATGCTTCGTACTGTCCAAAATCCTTGTGATTTGTACATTAGTACTTTGTTCTATGAATTGGACTTAAATTTATAATGTGTTCTTTTGTTTAGTTATTCGTATATTGTTTGTGTATTATTGTTTACTGTGTTTAGTGACGTAGTGTTTATATCAACATAGGCACGTGTATATGAATTAATATTTTAAAATTCTCTTCAACCAGGGATGTTTTCTGTGTAAGAATTTACACTAGTTCTTGAGTTTTCGATAACATTAACATTATTATTTTTACATTTTAGTTTCGATGAACTAACAAACTAGAAATTGAAACATCTAAAACGTAAATAAATAAGTCACACCTCATTTACCTAAATTACATAAAACTATTTCAATTTGAAACGTTTATAAAACGATCATCATTACATACTTAGATAAAGTCTCTTGTTGAATAACGAGATTCGGAAACATATAAAATGGTTGAGTTAGGTGAACATGAACAGTATCAGTTTTGATATTACACAGTAAAAATGTACAAGCACTTTGCTGTTGTATTTGTAGCTCTAATGTTGGTTGGATCCGTAAGTTTTAGAATACATTCATGTAGTACCAGTTTGTTTCTACAAAGTCTGATATAGTGGATTTGCCATAATAGTCACGAGGCGATAGTGCGATTACCTATTTTTTTGTTTCCAAGAGCCTACTCTAAATTTTTTTCCCTGAAAATGTATATGATTGCAATAAAAAATAATATATTTTCATTTAACACGTTTTCCTTTGTTTCAGAGCACGCAACAAGGTATGCGGTAAAATATTCAAAGTTATTGGAAATAATGATATTTGATACTCCCCAGCACCGTATAATGATCTTTCAAGTATATTTATTATTTAACAACATACTAATAAATTCAATTGTTTCTTGTTCATCATAATTTTCAGGTGCGGATGGCAGTGCTGGTGCCGGTGGCGGCGCAAGCGGTATGTTGATATTATTGATAAAAACAACATTGCAAACAAAATTGGAAATAACTTATTATGATCATTCCATCTGATTGATCACTTTTTATATAATCGTCAAGCAGTCTTCCGTCTTCGGACATAGGCCTGCTCCATATTTCTCCAATTATGTAGCTCCCGTGCCACTGCATCCAGTAGCGACTCGCGAAAATTTTGATGTCATCCACCCAACCAAGTGGTGGACGACCTCTGCTACGCGTGCTGGCGCATGGTCGCCACTCCATGATTCTCCTAGTTCAACGATCTCGATCCATCCCAGCTACAAGTCCTGCCCATTTCCGATTCATTTTATCAAATTTGTGTACAACATCCCCGACCTTGGTTATCCGTTGTCCGGTCGAATATTCTCATTCGTTATCCGATCGAGCAATGTTAGGAATAACACTTTCCTTTCCTTCCATTACTCTTTCGATACCTCCAATGAATACTACGCCAACTTAATTTTTGGACCTGTTCTGTTTTTATTTTGTTTCTTTATTTTTTGTAACAAAATTCGTTTATTTGGTTTTTCGAATTTTGTTTTTTGTTTTTTTTTTTTCAAAAAATTCAGAAAATGTTTACAAAAATAACAAAAAATGACCAAAAAATGAAGTTGGAGTAGTGATTATTGGAAGTATCGTTTTGTGCGATTCGTAAGTTCTCTGCGGATTTCTTCATCAGAGTATTTTTGATATATGGATGTCTACAAACACAAGCAATCTTGTGGAAGAATCGTAAATCAGAACAAATTAGTACAAACAAAACACATAATATAAATCTTCAAAGTAAAACGAGGGGTTTGGATAGGGGCATTTACCCCGAGAGTCTCGGTAGAAAGAAAATTTGGAGAGTCTAGACAATTTTTTGGCATTTTCGAGACTGGAGACTGATGTTTTCGGCCTCGGGAATATTGAGACTTTTGAGATAGGTACTCAATGAAAAAGTTTTAAAAATGTACTAAATGTTTCTTTCCCGGGACGCGAAATTGCAGCGAGACTAAAAGTCTCAGTTTGAATATATCCCTTCTGGTTTAGTAAATACAAGTTTGGAACTGTTATAGGTGGCTTCGGGTTCGGTGGCAGTATCGGCGGTGGAGCGGGAGGTGGTGCAGGTAAATACAACACATACTTCACGAGCGATTCACATATGTCTCTTGGAGAAACAAAACATGAAGGACTAAAGAATGCTCCTTACGAAACTTTTGAGAAATGTACACTAAGGAACAATGGGACTTGAATTGGACGCTTTATAATTTTAGTTAATGTTTTCGAATCGTCTGTTATATAAAATAATACAGTATTTAGAAACTTGCAGGACCAAGTAAGGGTCCTTGCGGAACACCTCTAATTACGGGAAATGAAACTATTTTTTCACTAACTGCAGCCGTGAGTTCACCATGAGACCTGTAAAGACCCCATATGTTGGTTTGTTTCAAATATGTGAAATTTAGATCCGAAAAAATAGTTTATTTCCAATGTACTTAAAGCAATTGCGGAAACCCAAGAAAAATACACAAACACTTGGAAAGTGTATTACTGCACGGGCATTTATAAGTATTTTTTTCTAGGAGGGGCTGAAGGCGGTTTCAGTGGACAAGCTGGTTTTGGTTTTGGAGCAAACGGTGGTGCTGGCGCAGGAGGCGGTGCCGGCGCCGGTGGAAAGTGACGTAATAAGAAACATATTTTTTTATTTGATAATATAATAGTTATTAAGTACTACTACCATTGCGAAGGGCATCGCACTAACCCGATTTTTAGAAATATTTAATAAAATCGATATAAAAGACTTGACTTTAGACAAAATGTAGTTACAGAGTTTATTACACTAATTAGCATAGTGTACCTTACTGCCTGTACGTTTATTACGTACTATACACGTTTATTCTAAAGCTGGGAGACAACCACAAGCCAAAACAACGTGAGATTGGCGGATATTATACAAACACTCTATCGCGCGTGATACAGCAATCGTGCGCGACTGAACGCTCGGGTAAAAACTTTAGAAGGAAAAGGA